AATAATATTTATATGATAATTACGGTCTGTCGCGTTTATGTCAACGAGGAGAGGTAAGCATGGCTCGCAAATTCTCCTCGGAGGAGACTAGTAACAACGCTATTCATGTAATGTAGTTATCTTAACAGAACAGGACATCAATGTTACTATTTGAACGACTAGCGATGTAATTACTTTCGTTGTCATTTGAATTTTTTATCAATGATTTCACGTTGAAGCGCCTGATTTGGGAGCAAATTAAAGTTGAAACAGAACAGTTAGAAAATACGCGTTTTACATAAATAATGTATGTATTTTATACATACAAATTTTAAACATACAGGGTGACACAAAAAAAACAGAGCTCACTAAAAGTCTTATAACTCCTGAAATTTTATTCAGTTTGAAACAAAAATTCTATGGAATTATGTACAACCTATGTAGCCAACATCTGCAAAATCTCAATTCTATACCACAAAAACTCTTTTTTTTACTTAAAAATTCGATATAAAGTTTTAGAGTGCATTAACCACTCATTTGATAGCTGATTTTAAAGTATCAAAAACACTTGACTGAACTGGTGTGAAACAATTGAAAACAAGTGATAACTAGCAGCTTAACACTATACTGGTGTGAAACAATTGAAAACAAGTGATAACTAACGGATAAACACTATACTGGTGTTAAACAATTGAAAACAAATGATAACTAGCAAATAAACACTATACTGGTGTGAAACAATTGAAAACAAGTGATAACTAGCAGATTAACACTATAATGATGTAAAACAATTGAAAACAAGTGATAACTAGCAGATTAACACTATACTGATATAAAACAATTGAAAACAAGTGATAACTTTCAGATAAACGCTATACTGGTGTGAAACAATTGAAAACAAGTGATAACTTGCAGATAAACCCTATATAGACACCCAATATACCTGATATTAAAATATCTGTAACTCGAAATACAGATGACTGAAAATTATCCAAAACAATCACGCAAACTTCATAGAAGCACACAGATGATCATAATTAACAAATTAAATATTGCAAAAAGGAAAGAAACTAACGTACCCTTCAAAAAAATGTTGATGATGAAAATGATGAGATCAAATTCTTTATATCAATCAATAGAGAATTAATCTCACCTTTAGTACATACATAAGTTCAACTTGAATATACAACAGTTGAATTTGATGATTGTTATAATAATTAGTGATTGATGTATTGAACTTAACCGCCGTAAAAGTTTATCCCGAAAAATTTGAAAAGAATTTTTTTATATTCTTGTTTGGCTCGTCGGCATGACGCAGACGATGCTATGCACAGGACATAAACGCTATAAATTTAAGAAAAACTCATTCATAGCAGGAAATACATTTATTCATGGTAAGTCCATAGCGATGAATTTACAGCTCCCGAGAAGAGGTTCGAATACGAAGCGAATATCTTCTGTATGAACAGATGTACTGAAATCTTCTGCTGCGACACGTGACTCATGGCTGCTAAAATAAACACAACAAAATATATTATCTGCAAAACCAATAAACTATTTGATAGCAAAACAATCCTGTACAGGGGCCAGGACAGTTCGTTGACACACGTGTCAACTAAAAGTAATGATGCCGGATGACATTGTCGGAACATTATGGACTCAAGGTTCATTTAGCAGCATGTTAATGGATAAAAATCATATTAAGAATGACCCAAAAGAAAAAGCGGCCCAAAGAAAAGGTGTAGCGATCACAGAGAATACAGTATTAAATTATTAACTGTAGACTCGGCTGAATGAGTTTTTACTTCATATTAACTTTAGACTCGGCTGAATGTAATTTATAAAGAACAGGGTTCAGTGAATGCATTATATATTGTAGGAAATTTCCCACCGTTAATCAAATTTCTATTCTTTAAACTGAATGTAGTTATAATTTATATTTGGGTAATGTTTTAGTCTATGGTAAGTTTAATGTTAGGGTAATTTAGGTCAGACCCGGTTTTCCGCAAAGAAAAAGTTCGCACTGATACATCGCCGTAGCCACACTAAATTTTGTGATCTCCAGCCAGCCTGTCGTCGGCCGCCGCTACTTCACCAGCATTCAACCATAAGTCTAAATTTCTTCCTTGTTCTGTGATTTATCTATTCCTTGGTTTGAGTGCCCGATATTCTTTCGTTTTGTTTAGTTTGCTCATATCTATGCTTAATTAACGTGTGCGATGCTTCAGACTTCAATTGTCTAATTTATTTCAATTCAACTTCAATAATTCAACTTCAATGAGGCTTCTACTAGAGCTCTATAATTAGAGTTCACGCCGAATCGCTTTACCTTTCTCATACTTAAACGCACCAATCTTCAACTATTCTTACTTTAATTCCGTCTGAAGTATCCACCTGCAACTGATTTCTTATTTTTTCACCCAATTCAATTCTTCCAAAAAGAGCGTTAGCACACTGAGTGGCATTTAATCTCAGGTAATTATTTAGTCTACCTTAACCGCATATAAATTTACTGCCTTAAGTTACTTTATGCTTTTTACCTTGTTTTCTATGATCTCTATATTCAAAATAACCCAATTGTCACAGTATGAACCGCAAACCTGGTGCGTAGCTGGTGGCGGAGCAGCAGCCGCGACTTGCCTGTTGCTGCTTCACTTGGCGCGGTCCAGCAATTCATTATCTCTTGGCTTTACCTTTTGGCGCAATTGAAACCGTCCCGGCTCCAGGAATTCAACAAGATTCCAAGCTTGAAGTTAATATTCAGACTACTGTATTCAATAAATTTTCTCAGAAGTTATATTTGCTTCACTACCTTAAGTAAAGAAGCAATTGTATGAAATTATTCATAATATATTAATGGTTAGAATGTTGTTTGAAATTTCAATTTGTATTTTATGAATATCTTATCATATTGCACTGTAAGCACACATTGATAAAATAATATACATTAAGAAACATCGATAGACACAGATTTCCTTCCTCAGGACTCAGTTTGTATTGTACAGCTACATTCAGCCATAACATCATGACTTTGGCTCACCTCCATATTTTGTGTCTAAATTAAAACACAGGAAATTGCTGCCGTTTTCCTGCAAATTATTATGAAGAATTTATAAGCTAAGAAAACATCACGTAAATTCATTACATCTTCATTGAAATGACTTTGTAGACGAGTTACCTACAATATTGGCCCGAAGCTGATGCTGGCGCCGAGAAGTCACAAACCAATTATTAAAGTTTGTTTTTGATGCATTGAGCTGGAGCCGCTTGGAGCGTATCCAGTCTGAGACAGCGTCCATGCGGACAGACATCCGGTCTTGCAATGCTGCAGCGTCAGCCGGCGCACAGTAGCCATAAATTTGGGTGTCGTCAGCGAACATATGCGGATTAAAACTGTGTGAATGGGCCAAATGATACGTCAAGTCGACGCACTCAAGTGGCGTGGTCAACCGTGTCAACCGCGACTGACAGGTCGAGTACAGCTAGTGCCGCAATGTCGTCACGGTGTACCGAGCGCAGAATGTCTGAAGGCGTCTTCAGCACAGCGGTTAACGTCGAGTGGAGATGACGGTATGCAGACTGGAGGCGAGGCATGAGACCGGACTGCTGAAGATGGTTGTTCAGCTGTCGGACAAAAACGCGTTCCAGGTATTTCGACAAAAACGACATGCTGGAGATGGGTCGATAAGATTTGGGATCTGAAGCGTAGAGGTATGTTTTTTCATTACCGGCAGAGTGAAATCTGATTTTAAGTTCATCGGAACAACACTGTCAGTGAGGCAGCGGTTAAAAAGTTTTACCAGAACAGATGCTAGGGTTACGACATTCCCCTTAGTCCATATATGACGGCGCTAAAAATTTCCGAAATTAACGTACTTTCCAATACCGCTATTCATATTTCGGAGTCAGAATCATTTTTTATACGGGAGTGTGGGATAAATGATTCCTAGAGCTGTTGATTGCCTTAAAAATAATTTTAGTTTACTCAAAGCAATGTAACAAGCATTGCTAGCAAATTAAGAAATGTTAGGAAATATTTTTTCCGTCTGAAATGTAACGATGACTCTCAATTTCTATCAAATCACGGATATATTCATGTCTCAATGCAAACTTGTTGAAATTAATTTTCAAAAAGTTAGTTTCGCTTAGGATGATCGTATTGATGTGAATATCATTCGAGCACTAGCCAGTAATGATCGTCTTGATCGACATTATTCCATTTATCGATTCAAAAATTGCTCTAATTGACAATAAATGCTGTGTGTTACATGTTTCCTTGTAGAAACAAATGGTATTCGACGTACAAATATGGCTTCTGATCAAGTACTCTCCTCCATTCCAGCTATTATTTCATCATTAGGCCCTTACGACGTCTCTCCAACATTTCTCTGTCCCCAAATGCATGTTCGTGGAACTTACTTCAAGTTACTGACAGCGACGTGTCTCTCGAAACTAAATGCATTGCATCTTTGCCACCTAAATGTAGCTATCGGTTTCTTGGGTCTCTTATGTTCACTTTCCTTATGTATATTTATTTAATAAATATTTGTAATAATCTCATGATTTGAATGCGCGTTCAACATGGAGAGATTTGGGCAACAGACAAACCAACATTTTATCCGCAACAAAGGGTCAATCAAAACAATATTCATGCAGAGAATGTATTGTAAATTATTTAGCACAGCTTGGGTGAAATAATACAAAAAGTTCCATTGTTGAAGTGTTCACGCAACGTTTTCAACCTGTCAGGAGAAGAAAAAACAAGTGCAGAGGTTCGAAGGACAACAACAAATCGCTAATTTTGAAGTGCAAGGAACGATAAAAACATTATGATTGCTGATTATATTTAAGTTCATAATGATTGGTTACACGCTAACTTATTTGAACTCATATTCAAGCTTCATTACATTAAACTTGTAGAATTCTAATAATTTCAAGTGCATCAAACAGAAATTTTTTGACACAAAATATATTGTATTATATATATACATAATATATATATATATATAAGTATATGTTTAACAATAACCGGACAGAATTGGTAACATTACCGGACATCGGTTAGAAACCCGGACAAAATCTCGTCCAGCTGTTTACACTGCAATTAATTTTTACCTAAAAACCGGACGCGAAAATAAATGAACAACACTCCCGGACATCAAAAAATGCCTACCTCGTTATGTTAGGGTTAGAGTTAGGGTTAGGTGCGTCTAAAACCCTTCTTTCCCTTGCTAACGACCTTTCTACAGAGTTGAATCAAGCCAGGTCAATTTTTTACTTATTTTTTTTTGCAATTCAGAATTCCAATTTGACTATTTATACTGCACATAGTAGCATTGACTGGAGAAAGTGGTCCCCTAATTATTATAGTGCACCTGTTGTGAACACTTGAAAGCCGCCAGTCAGATGAAGGCATGAGGACCAGATTGTGCAGGTTAGCCAGGAGCGTACTTGAACGACACGTATTGGAGGCATGCGACCTTCTCTAGGAACTGTTGGTGATAGTTCATTATATCAACAAAAACGTTCATGACATTAAGTGATGCATCAGTTGTAGTGCGAAGAAGAGGAAGAAGGCTTAGAATTTCAGCATTACCTTTACGTAACATTATTCAAAGAAATTTGAGAGAAGTAGAAAGACATGCGGCACAGTTTCACAGGTAATCATATATCACATTGGCATCAGAAAAAGGGATTACACGATCAAAGAAACGTGCTGGATAGTCTGAAATATCGACGCGTATTTTCACAGGAACTATGAACGATTTGCCAAGTTTTTACACACTCGTAAACCAAATTATCACTCGGCTTTCAAATTAACATTATCACAAATTCAGGTAGAAATAAACTTAACTCATTTTCCTGCAATGAAATAACTTAGTACGTGTCTCGCCAAGGCTAGAAAAACTTACCGCGTAGTAGTTGATGGTAGTGCCACATTGTTTTACAGCGAAGTCGTACTGAGCAGCTCTGCAGCTAGGGTTATAGGTGACGACAGACTTTAACTTGGCTAAGACCTTTGCGCTGTCGATGGAGCCATCAGCCTTCAACTAGAAATAAATGAATGAGTGATGTATTCACATTTATTAGGGTTGCAACTTCGTAATATAATTTAATAACTAATAACTAATGATATTGTTTGAAATAAATATCTCTCATGGTGCACTATATATTTTGTTGGTCACATTTTGAGTTGTTAAACACCGCAAATAGATAATGTAATATTCAAAGTGGACTTCATGACAGATGATGAAAAGGCATCTTAGCATCATTTCCAGACTTACCCAACCAAGTTTTCCCGCTACACATTTCATGTAGGGAGCTGCGGCAATTTGACAGAAGATTTCGCCGTTGTAAAACTTGTAGTCGCTGCAGCGAGTACCACCTGCAGAACACGTAAATTGTCACTTATTGTTTTAGATCTCTCATGATTTTACTAAAATTCTACTCACTATTTCGCGATTGGTCTCTAGATAACACCAGTACATAAAATGACAAGGTCTAGAACCGAGTTTTTGAAACGAAATATTTCAATTTGGAGAATTGACAATATAGTAGCGCAATGGTAGAACATTTCAGATAAACCAATTGACGGTAATAAATCTTGCAATATCTAACTTGCGAGGGCAGTCAAGGCTGCACGTCCCGCTGGATCCGACTTGCAGTCGATGAAGGCAGGTTGATCTACTGAGGTCACCAACGTGAAGGACAAGTACTTTGAACACGCAAGTGAACTGCGGTAGAGAAATGAATTCCAATAAGTACACCAGGTGAGAAGCATGAAAAAAAATAACATTTTTCCCATTGTAGTCAGACAAACAAGTAATATCAATATCTCCAAATGCAACTTTATCGTAACTTTTTCAGCATTGAGTTGTAGTGGCTGCACAAAATTAGAGCACAAAGCAATAGCTCTTAATTTAAGATAAATGTGAACAGGAGGGGTAAGAACAGCGTCCGAATGCAATTGCTGAGTTCACTTACCCTTCAGCACTTGCGTAGGCAAAGGTTGCTGCGAGAAGAAGGAGATGACAGACAGATTTCATCATGTTGGTAGTCGCAAAGGCTTAAGCGGCAAGAGGCTAAGGCACAACACGTCGTGAACGAAAGGCTGTTAAAAGCCTTTTGACTTGGTACGATACATGGTCTGAATTTATAGCTTTATGATATTATTGAAACAGTTGGAATTATTTGTCGATCGCGGGCCAACAGCTGTCTGTCAGAGATCATTCGTCACCACAGCTAATGGCATCTAGCTCAACACTCAAATGTTGAAATATAGATTTAACAGTTTTTTTGGAAATTTTAAACTTTCTAATTAAAAATTTGAAAATTTATCAACAATGTGGAAATGCTGTATAGGCGAATGAGATAGAATTTCGTTTGAATTTTCTATTTTTATCCATGGAATATCATTTTCTAGAAGAATCTCAATTTGTGTTACAACAAAAGTTTTTTCATCACACGTATACGTGTATATCTGATAAGAAGACCAAATCCTCGATGCCCAGCGTTAGTTCAGGTGGAGTGGCTCTTAAAGAGACGCTCCATATTTGCTAAGACGTCAAAGCTGATGATGTGTCTGATGACTTTAGATCGCAAATGATCACAATCTAAGTTTGTTTAGCTGAACCGGCACCTTGACATGATCATTCTAAATTATACGGTGTAAGCGTTACCATTATATATCATGAGTACATCAGGGCTCGATTCCACATTACAATGTACAGTACATTCTAGCGTGTGACATTCTGGGTTGCATGCTACTAACAATCGTTACAATCCGTGGGCTGTCTCGATATTCCTCTCCACATTACAATACACAATTTATCTTACAAAACTCAACGATGCACTGCATTATTGAGTGTCAAAGCTGCGTGCGTATTACAATGGGAGTCAAAATTGCTTAACGGGCTTCGGATCGGCCAAAAAGCTTTCGTTTTCGACCCCTGCTTTGCTTTTTCTGCGTGTCTTCTGTATAACCCGAATGGGAATACGAGGTGCCGATGTGCCGCATGGCAATGAATAATTCACAGCTCTCGAGAAGAGGTTCGAAACCGAAGCCAAATTCCAAAGCTGCGTGCGTATTACAATGGGAGTCAGAATTGCTTAACGGGCTTCGGATCTGCCAAAAAGCATTCGTTTTCGACCCCTGCTTTGCTTTTTCTGCGTGTCTCCTGTATAACCCGAATGGGAATACGAGGTGCCGATGTGCCGCATGGCAATGAATAATTCGCAGCTCTCGAGAAGAGGTTCGAAACCGAAGACAAATATCTTCTGCATGAGCAGTTGTTCTGACATGTAGACATTGAGATTTTATTGATTACTTTGACCTTAAAGGTTCAGCTGCGACACGTGACTCATGGCTGCTAAAATAAACACAACAAAATATATTATCTGCAAAACTATTAAACTATTTGATAGCAAAACAATCGTGTACAGGGACCAAGACAATTCGTTGACACATGTGTCTACTAAAAGTAATGATGCCGCATGTCATTATCATAACATTATGGACTCAAGGTTCAAAAACGCGTCATTTCAATGGATAAAAATCATATTAATATTGACTAGCATCGTTCGTCATCCGAAATCATTAATCAAGTTGAAAACCATTAACGATCCAGAGAAAAGGTGTTGCGATCATTAAGATTACAGTAATAAATTATTAAATTTAGTCTCGGCGGAATGTAATTTTTATTTATCAATAACTTTGGACTCGGCTAAATATAATTTTGAAGGTACACATTACAATGAATGTAATATATATATTTAAGATTTCAAATTCCAACATTGTTCCGATCCGGCTAAGAGATCTTGCTTGTTATGCAGTGCACCAACTACCACAACTTGGTTGAGCAATCCTCACACGCAACGAGCAAGATACTACCAGAAAATATGACTCAAAAATGAAATTTTTCCATACAAGTGTCGTTCATGCGTTTCATTATACATGCTATTTCTGTATTTTCCAAAATGTTTAAAATAATCTAAAATAATTTCTGACGATCAAATAAATTATTTAAGCAGCCGAAAAGCTACTCGAGAAGTAAATTCTTGGCGAATATATAGACGCAATATGTAGCTCATTACTCTTATTATTATTCTATGAAGCAGTTATCGTGACGTCTGGTTTAAGGGGAGCTCTGGTCAAAATTTTTGGATATTGGCTTTTCCGGTTTTTCGTCTCACTTAAAGCTGACATTCTGACCTATCCAACGGTACCAAAACCATCTCTGTACGTTGATTTATGCGTTCACGACAGATCGCGAAAGGGTTAGGGGTCTGTCTCTTATACACATCTTGAGATGGNTTGCAATTGGCCCATAGGGTTGGATTGTTCATCCTGTCTAGGGAACGTGAGCTGGGTTTAGACCGTCGCGAGACAGGTTAGTTTTACCCTCCTGTGGTCTCTGGGGATGGCCGATCGTTCCTCTTGCTGTGGAACGACGGCCCAACCCCTCTGTGTTGCTATGGAAGTCGTGGCCAGTACGAGAGGAACGTCACGACCGAGCCAATGGTCCCGGACCCGCTCGATCGAGCGTTGGTTCCAGGCTACGCTCGTTGCTGAGTAGGGCCGAACGCCTCTTAAGCCTGAAATCGTTCCAGCACATGTGCAACGCTACCCAAACGCGGTCTGCACCGTGTGAGTTACCCTCGCACACAAAGCAAAGGATGCGCGCACGCTGCACATTCTGTGTGTGGTGGAAGGTGTGCGGCGCTCGTGAGTTCTCGTAATCTGGCTACTCCTTGTCACTAGCGAACGCTCTACAAAATGACGCATGCGTTTTTCTAATTTCGTTATAGTTTGGATTTTATTCTGCAAAAAGAGGGGGTGGCTTGGGGTAAAATCGAAAAGTTTCCGAAATATTTACAAAAAATGCCCCATTCTATAGATATGGTCTTTACGCATCTTATGATATGTCTCGATGTTGCAGCATGGAAATCCTAGGATTTCTACAGTACCCGCTTAAATGTCAGTTTTCTAAGAATTTCACGTTTTCTTTCATTTTTTCGAAAATTCATACGAACAAAAAAGTCATAGACTTCTGTTTTACATATGTGTACCAAGTTTCAAAGTGATCCGTTTGTGAATACCCAAGTTTAGTTCCAAGCCAGATGCTCCCCTCAAACAAACTTCGAGGTCACGTTCCACATAAATTTAATAACAAGAGAAAATAAATACACATGACAAAGGATCAGAACGGATAAAAAGGACCAAACACATGATTCATTGGCTCTAAGAAATAGTTCCGTCTTTAGGCGTCGATGAAATACCTGCACCGAAGGAGCCGATATTACGTGAGCCGGCAGACTGTTCCAGGTTCTCACTCCGACGACCGGGAACGCTGATTCGTCGACTTTAGATAGACATGAAGATGGAACGACGAGATACGCTGTTGATGAGTGTTGTTGATACGAAATGTGTTGCCTTCTAGAAGGCAGATCCGGCACGCGCTGCAGTCATACAGTGAGATAAGGAGGCGCCAGACCGTGAAGACATCGAAACGTCAAAACAGCGACCTTGAACTGCGTGCGCTGCTGCATGCCCATGCCGGTGAAGATCGTGCAATATCGGTTTCACGTGGTCGAATTTTCGCTTATTGCACAAAAGTTGTGCAGCAGCGTTCACTATAAATATCAGCTTATTTAATGATTAATCTGATCGTCAGAAATTCTTCTAATTTATCTTTATCATTTCGGAAAATACAGAAATAGCTTCTATAATGTAACACATGAACGACACTTACATGGAAAGATTTCATTTTTGAGTCATATTTTCTGTT